ATTAATTAACTTGATATTTTGTTTCAGTAATCGATAGGTAATCTATTCGACTTTCAGCCGCTACTTCATAGGCCTGATACTCGCTCCACATACTTCAGGGTAATGTCACTACTAGCTTTCATACGTAAAATGTGTTCCGAATCAGCGAAATCACAAGTTTTAACCTCCACAATAAGTTATTATTAATTCAGTATTTAAAGTTAGGAGGAAACTTAAATCCGGTAGCTGTTTAGTGTTTCTTTATTATTTATTCATCAACATTTTGGTTTTAGCATATTAGAATAAGTTTTGAAATCATTCACTGAAGTGTAAAATTCACTTATTAATTCAATATATCTTGTTTAACTTCTCATGTTATCCAATAATATTACTTTTAAAAGAAGACGTCGAAAAACATTTTTGAAGAACTCAACTTAGTTCATGTTATTACACCAGTGTTGTCTACTATTCTTATTTTGTAAATAATATCAATGTGTGTGTATGGTAAATTTTTTATCATTCATATAATATAATGTTTCCCTTCTCTTTTCTTCAAATTGTAGAATTCCAGATTATCTGAACACAGAAGAATTTTCTGAACTAAGCAAACAGTTGTATTTAGTTGATTATATTGTTCTAATATTCATCATAGCTGTCGGTAATAAATTTAAGGGTATGTTAAAGGTTTTCTATTTTAATGAGTTAAAGTCGATTATGTTTAGATTTGAGGTATGAAATGACTTAAGTAAAATGTATGGTCAATTGTAAGCACCTAGTGGTAACAGATGTCAACTGAAAAAGTCACAGCATCCAAACCACATTACATTTAACTTATTAGATATACTAATCTTCAAGGTTACTCAAAATGATATAGTGATTGATTAAAGTTATTTAACCTCAATTACTTACCCCACCAACACTCTCCATCCGAACCTATCGTGGGCAATCCTTTCCAGTTGCTATTCATCCTTTTCATATCTGCTTCCGATTATCGATGTATTGTGTTCCTCGGCCTCCCTCTTTTCCGTTTTCCTTCAGGATTCCAAGTTAGTGTTTGCCTCGTGATGCAGTTCGTTGATTTCTGTAATGTATGGCTTATCCACTTCCAACGTCTTTTTCTAATTTCCACTTCAGCTAGAAACTGGTTTGTCCTCTCCCACAATGGGCTGATACTAGTATCCGACCAACGAATATTGAGTATTTTGCGTAGACAACTGTTTATAAACACTTGCACCTTTTTGATGATGATTGTGGTAGTTCATCCATGTTTCAGCTCCGTACCGTAAGACCATCTTGACGTCTGTATTGAAGATTGTGACTTTAATATTGGTTGATAGTTGTTTTGAGTTCCATATATTCTTCAATTCAGTGATTTATTCTGATTTGTCGCATTCAATTTCACGTTTGTTAGAATAATCAACCTGTATTGCTCTCAGATTTAGTCTTGTTCTAACCTAATGACTCACTTCTTGCGAGCATCCTATTATTTACGAAGTTGAATTCTTTAGTTGTTATTCCTGCGTTCGTTCGGTACTCTTTTAGTAAGTCTGACGTAAAACACTTGATTTACTATATATTATCTTTAGTACAGAGGTCTGTGGAGGTAGTTGAATTTCAAGTTTACATCATGGGTTGATTTTAGTTAAAGAACCACTAAAAACTAAAAACAATAGATAACCGTTTCTTCGTAGTGTGGGACTCAGTGGCAGACATCCACGGCCCCCTGGGGTCGAACCCAATGTTCTCTATCTCTTGACAAGCGCTCAACGCCTAAACCTCTGGGCCGACATCTGATGGTATTAATGGATTCAGCGTTGATTATATTGTAGATTAGTAACAATTTTAATACACTAATTTGGTGGTGTTGTGTTCTCTGAGCTACATGGTTTCTCTCTCGAGCTTGCATTGTCGTTCTGGACAAAATAATCGATGCCTATTTCACATAGAAGTGATCTATCTAGTTATTCTGTAAGCATTATATCATGGAGAAGGTCAATTAATCACATGGTCAGAGGTCAGTCGAAAAAAACAATCAAAATAAAGGCAAGTGCAAATTAAGATGATAGAAGCTATAGACTACCAGTTACAAATGAAGACAAAAAGCAAAGTGATATAACATTTGCGGGATAACTAAAAAGACCCCTAATATTTGAAGTTGGTTATGATGTATTGATTATTTTTGTAGATTAGTAACAATTTTAATATTTAGTCACTTGATCAGTAGTTTTATCTTTTGAGGTATATTTAGCTCGTATTTTATAAGTAGAATCAATAAAAAGGCTGCCAGTTTGACACACCTACCAACATTCCAGAACTCATCTCAAATCAATTGTACTGTCTCAACATTAAATGAAATTAATGACATTTAACAATTTTCCGTGCAGGTTATGTCTTGTTATGCTGAATCACTTGATGCTATTTCCTCTTATTTATCAATGCTTTACAGAAATTTCTCATTTCCTATGCCGAATTGTATCTTTTATTTACATTTTAAATCATTAAAAATTTGTTTCTGCAGGTGCTAAAAAACTGTCCAATCGGTTAGGTTTTGGCCGATCGCTTCAATGCTATTCTGATGGAGCTACATCTTGTGTTTTAATTTGTATTCATGCTTCATTGTCATGCTTGCATAAATGGCTTATTGGAGAGGTGGAAAACGTTGGATGTCTGGATGCTGCCTCAATTGGAGAATCAGTACAATATATTCCTTCTGTTTTAATTGGATTACTCGATATATCTTGTCCATCTTCTGATGCACCCCCAATAAATGAAACTGATATTCAAGATGTATTAGGCTCATATTTGAATGCAATATGCGGTGATGAAGCCTATCTTCGTCCACTCGGTTCCGCACTGACTGAACGTATTATGCACTCCACGTACTGGCGTACTAGGTTGGCTGCAATTCGATTGTTAAAGTTTGTTTTTAATCATTCAAATGATCATGAAATTGACAATGATAAGGATATTACAATGGATTCAAAACTTTCTGGTCCTGTCAGTTGTATTGTATCAGATTCACTCTTAGCTCTATCAGAAGCGTTAGAAGATGACCGACCAGAAGTTGAAACTGAAGCTAATAAACTATTTGCTGAATTAGAACAAATGGGTCTGACTGCTACAAAAACGTAAACTATTAAATTTACCACAAGCTCTATCAGCTAATAAAGATAATAATTATTTTGAAATAAATCCTTTTGTATAGTCTTTCCTATGTGCTTTCTAACTCATGTGAATAAATATAATTTTGTGTGAAAGATATCATTTGTACATGGTTTCAGTTTATGTTCTGATCAATTATATTTTTTTGACAAAAAGTCTTTGTTTCAAAGTTTCCTGAGTTATTATATCAGATCATTGCTTAGATGTTTTCATCAATTTTTTACTTATTGGTTAAATGTACGTTTTATTACCCAGTTCTGATAGTAATCAGTGGTGGTGAATGGATTAGTGATATGCTTGTTCTAACCAGTAATATATGTAAATAATAACTATCGAAAGGATGATTTTTGCTAGTAGTCTCGGTGTTATTTAAAACGGTTTAACGTAACGCTTGTTTAAATTAATATAGTTTCGGAGAAACTATTTATCAATCGTTTTCGAATCAACCTGTTGATAGATGGTTATTTCATTAAGGTTTACTGTTTAATTGAGTTGGTTTCACATATTATTATATCATCGTCCAAAATGTTACAACTATAGCACTTTGCTATTATTTGGACTATTACGCTTGTGAAAACTTCACTGAATTACTTAGCTAAAGAATATGAATTACTAGTGTTAACTTAAAGTGTTTCAAAGAATAGGTTTTTAATTGTTCAGAAAATCTAGTTTCTGTGTACCTACACTTTTTAGATCAAAAACATATAAATCTAAATGTAACATCAAAAGTTTTCCAGAGGTGTGTATTTAAAATGATGAACAGTCCAATATGTTATGTGTGTGCTTACCGACGCAGTATACTTTAGAAAACAAGAATAAACATCTGGTTAATTCTCACTAGTTTTTCCTTAAAATTATTGTTAACTAAGTTTAATCAATCTATTTGAGGGATAAATTACTGTTCAGTTTTTCAAAGTATAAATGTCGTGATGGGATTACTTTTAATATGCTTAAATTCTGTGATAACATTTTTTTCTCACTAAAATATAATACTGATTTTATTGAGAGACATCACAATTAGTATTTTCTAGCATAAATTGATATTTTGGGGATGCACTAAATATATGCAACTTTAATGTGGTCTTGATGTGTACAATTTGTTTGTTTAATTAAATATCATGTTTAATAGCTGTTATGAGAAACAGTTTTAAATATTTCTGTATGAATGGTATATAGATAAGTTTAAAATAGGTATTTACGTCTGACACTACAAATAAACTAAATCAACAATCTGATAAAACATCAAAATTGATTTACTATCTTCAGTAATTTCACTACTAAGTATCGATCATGTGTAGAGATTTGATTCGCGAGCACAATATGAATCCTAGTTTTCAAGCATCCAGCCTTATTCACCAAAGAATAAATTGCAATTGTGAAAGTCATTTGGCAAGTTGGTAGTGATTCAATAAAACTAAGTAAATCGAATGAACAATGAAAATCAATTTCTGTGTTTGAAATTACATTTTTTAGTGTATATTGTATGACAAACAAAAGTAGTGTGGCCAACAATAGCATGTGTAAAAAGCTTTAACATTATTGTTTGATTGTTTAAATAAAATCCATTAAGCTGAAACTGAATTTGATTAAATTGAAAGTAAATTGAAATCACTTTCATTACAAAAAAATATTCACAGGGAAGAATTTATTGACAGAAATAAGAGAGACACATTTGTTTACTGACTTATCTTGACCATTTTTGTTTACTGTAATTGCAGAACTTTGTTTTTTGTTGCTTATTTTAATGAATTGGAAACTATTCTTATTTACATTTATACCGATTTATCGTTAAATGAATCTAATTACAACATAGGCTTTCAATATTTGAGCGATTATCCTAAATTTTTCTATGTAAATACTCATTCATTTAAAACTGTTCGGTAATATTCTTGGTTTGAAGTTCTCTTAGTAACTCGATTTAATTTCGCCGACGAGACAACTGGCATTAAACCATTGATTATTAACTGCGGACCATGGCTGTTATGGGATGTGTTCACACGAGGATTGACCAGTGTAGGTAGTGGGGTTTTATATTTTTCCGCTGTTTTAACACCTGTTACAATGTAAATATGTGAATCAACAATTATATTTTTCATCTGTAGTTAATGGAAATGAATAATCGTTGAAATCCATTAAAATAAATAGTGGATCTGTGTACTTATTAACAACAAGCATATATAATCTAGTACCATATCCGTTCTTTTTAAATCTAAATAGATAGTACTATTTAAACTTGTTAATTTAATGTCGATTATTTATTTACTCTGAGGAAGTGGCTTACATTAAGTCACGAAACGTCAGAAATACAATTTTTCTACTCATCAGGATCTAAAAAAATATTATATGCTTTACTCGTTTTATATTTTGTATTAAATCCGAAATGAGTGGCTGCTGAAATTTGTCAAATAAAGTTTTTGAATGACTTGTTTTTCTTTTGTCAATGTGATTTTTGATGCGGGTTCTTAAAAAAATTCTACTCGTCAGGAAATTTTGTGTGCATTAACTTCCTTCAAGGTGATCTACATCTCGAGTAGTAATTTTAACATTTATATATTTGTGAATGATTTGCAATGGGAAAGCTTAATTTATTGATGAATATTATAATTGTAGAGATTTTGATATCTGTTTGACGTCAGTCTTCGTCAAAGACTAATATAAGCTAAAAAAACCATTGTAAAAAGCAGGAAGCTGGGACTAGCTTTTCCACCTGTATTTTGGCCTTCTCAGGAAATTCCCTTCACCACCGCATACAAAACCGAACCAACCACTCAGGGGTTTGACAGCAAAAATATGTATATGTACCTCTAAGTTGGGGCAAAGTGGTTTACGTACCCAACTTCAATCAACTGACAATATTAAGCGACTATCGATATTAATATACTGAACTGTTTTCAGTCATCATATTTAGCTTGAATAATATATTTGGATTATAAAGGCGAAACTTACTTTCAGAGTCATTAGATGCTTTTTTGCTAGAGGAATTATGGCTATGCTGTCTTGAAGTATTCTGGGAATTACTTGTAGTAATATTATTACTATTGTTACTACAACTAGTCAAGTCTGTGAAGATGTATTCTGATTTTACCGCTGAATTAGATCGAATACTTCTTGAAGGTAGGAAACCATAATTTTCATTTATTCGTAAAGATATGTGAATCGGATTACATATACTTTCAAACGACGAATTTTTTACTGATTGATGACTTTTCTTACCAGTAAAATTTGTATCATTACAATCTTGATAAAATGATTGACTATCAAGATTCACTGGTAAATTTTGAATTGTCTGACCATTGGTTGGATTTATTATTGAAGAGTTTGAATGTATTCCTCCGTCACAAAGATTACCGGAATGTACACGGTAAGATTGTTGGGATTTTTGCTGATGTATCTTATGAAATTGATGAGATGGAAACGCACCAAAAGTAAGATTATTTATGGATGGTTGAGCTGAGTTAATACAACGACTTCCATTCAGTCGTACAAAATAATTATTACAACATTGATTCGCTACTGGAACAAGCGACGGTTTGTTTTTCTCAATTGGATTATCCCATACTACAGGAGTTATTTTTGTATCATGTATGATATCTGGTTTTTCCTGCAAAACAATTTACAAGACAAATAAAATAGTTTTTCAGGGTACTCTACTTATAAGTTGCATAATGTTATAAGACATTTCTATGAAGATCTGTTGGCGAATTTTTATCGCAAAAATGTAAGTCTCCGATTTAAATATACTGAGCATAGAACTAACGTCATTGGTTTTGTCTTAATAGTGATGGAAATACTGCATCATTCAGTACTGCGGGTTTGTGTCGGATACCACTTAAGTAATAGACGTAGTCTCTTATTGTAACTTATATGTTTACCACCGTTAATACATTAAAATAAATTATTTTACAACTTTCGTTAAGAAGATTTTGTGTAGGCGTTTCACGAATAACATCTAATTCTACGTTTGATTTTCATAAGAAGATGAAATTAACTGGAGAACCACTGTTGACTAGGAACTACTTGAGAGCTAGTTTATTCCTAGCTTTTTGCTCACCGGAACACTGAACTAACAGTTTCAACGAAAGTGGATTGAGTTTCCCGGAGAGTGCTACCGAATTAGAGTCCAGGATTTCATAATTTTTAAGCTCAGTTAACGTTTGATTTTAACAGCATTATAATTCGGCGTAATTTATAAGCTTTTGTTTAACTATTAACTTATTTGACTGAGGGTGAATTCCAATACTGGGATTGTACAATTGTATTTTGTTCTTCAGTTTCCTATGTCTCATTGTCTGAAGTATGTCTGTGATGATAACTAACTTTAAATTAGATACTCTTTGTGGTGTGTGCTACTTATACTGATATAAGTAGTATATGACGTTACTCGTGAACAGAAGGTCTGGCAGCAGAGAGACAAGAGGATCGAACAGCAAAGAATGGGAACAGAATGCAATTTGTATGAAAATGCAAGAACAATCAAGTCTGAGTCATTATGGGACAATTGATGGACATTTTGCAAATTATGTATTTACTATTTGATTGTTAGGTTTTATTAACAAGTCCTGTAAGTTTGAGTCAAATACATTCGATTGTCCCCACCCGTGTTCTGTTCACTACACTCTTCATAAACCTCCTGATTTGCTAATCATCTTATTCTTTTGGAGTATTAATTGCAAGGAATATTGTAATGCAAAATTGGTAGATCCTTTTCAGTTCAGAAACCCAGCAATAAAGGTACACGATTACAATAATAATTAAAATACCTGATTTGATAACGTTGAATTTCAAGAGATGCAAGGTAAAATTTAGAAATAACCGTCAAATAAATAATATAACGATTCAAATTTCTTTTGAAAACTCAACATAAATCAAATCGCATACACTAAGAAAATGAACTAAAATTTACTTTAGCAGAGTTTTCATGTTCTTGATTCTTAATCCAGTACTTTTGTCTTCCTGATAACTGTGTACGATTTTTCCATGAAGCTGTTGGTTTTAGAACATTCAGTTCTCTTTCCTTCTTTTTATCTAGTACTTAAGAAGAAAATAAACCGCACACATAATGATAACCTTAGATAAGCTGTCGATAGAGAAAGTATAAAAGTACATGTATAAGTTATGGGAGTTTAGAACATGAATACATACTATTCATATAATAAACTCATATATTTTTATTAATATGTATGAATGAATTCAGTATAAAAGCACATCAACCATTGAGTGTTGTATCCGTGGTTACTCACTTTATATTCCACTTAAGCAGAATCTTTTAACCAAAATAAGTTAAGACGTTTTATTATGCCTTAGGAAATATCAGTAAGAAACTGTAAAACTCAGAACCAATGAATTTATTATGTCACTTGATTCAAATCCGTAAACAGCTCATTTGACCAGTTGGTAATGAGATTAAATGACGAAAAAAATTAGATAAGGACATAAGATTGTTATCTGTAGGAAAATGTAAACTGTCATTTGATTATTCAAATCTCCGATAGTTACACATCGGAACAAAAATTAAATTCCGTTAAAGTTATTTGAGAAAGATTCTGTGAAAGTGCATTTTACATTTGATAGAAGGAACTACAAGTAAATTGATTAATGTTATTATGAAATAAATACGTTAAAATAGGGAGACATACCTGCTTTCTGTTGTGATTGTCGATGTCCTGTACAGTTTTGTTCTGTATTGGTATTATTATCTAAATATAATTCGTTAAATTCTTTTTTGTCTTTGTATTTTAAAGAATGTGAATGTGCAAATAATTCATAAAGCATTGAAATTAAACCTATTTTGTGCATTTGATCTTCTCGTCTTTTTAATTCATTTCTACGTTCAGCTTCTTCATTATCAAGTATAGGTTGTGGCAATTTAGTATTTATACAAAGTTCGACATTGTTTAACGTAGACTTAATCAATGCCTGATTATCAGAGTGGTTATCATTACTGTCCTTTTCTTGTTTTCCTTCTGTAGAGACTTCTAAACATTTATCAGGTTTCCTTTGTTCCTCCTGATTATTTTGTTTGTTATTGACAATAAAATCCACTTTATTTATGGGTATTAATTGATTAGAATTATTGATTATTTCATCATTGTTAACTGACTTTATTAATTGCTGAGATAATAATCCAGTGTTTATTTTAATTCTTAGTCTTTTGGGAGCTGGACTTTCAGATTGACTATGCTTATGTTTATTTGCAATTAAATCCAATTTTTCTTGTTTAAGTCTTATTTCTTCTCTTAGTTGTCTGTTGGATAAAAATACAAATAGTGTGAGGAATATAAGTTATTGAACTCATGAATTCTCAGAATATGAAGTGTAATATAATTTTAAAAGCCGACATTAAGCGGTAGACAAAATGTGAATATATCTGTTTCATTGCTACTGATTCCGATCCGTGTCAAGTCACATCTCCAACTATTGGCTACAATGATCATTTGCTCCCTTACCAGGTTATGTCTTTAATACTTGAGAAAAATGTGATCTGTATAATTAGAATGTAATATAAGTATATTCGAAGACGTCTGGTAATTTTTCACTAAAAATGCTTCGAGATGAAATACTATCATCGGGCGAATAAAAATCATGCGAGAAAGAAATTAAGAGACATGTCATATTGAATTCAGCTTTACTGTAATATTATCGTGTGAACTTGAAAATGAAATATATATTAAGAATGCCTAAAAGATGAGATATAGAGGGTAAGGGAGAGCATAGTCACGAAGAAGGTTCATCATATGGAGTTAAAGCAATTAATACGGTTATGAGTGGTTCGCGTTTATTGCATACCAAGTGGGAACATAGAAGGTTGAACATGATTCTTTTGATAAATAATTTAGTTGATCTCTATAACTGTTATCACCGCGTAATCATTTTCACTTAGGCAGATTGTCTGAAACTTCAATGTGATGATAGCTCGCATGAGTCAAATTTTAAATTGCCAACCTAATCAGCTAACTTTATTGGTCTGAACTTTTGGGCTATCCATCAATAGTCTTTATGGTTATATGTGCCTGAGGTTATTAATACTACTACCGCTACATCAAAACATAAGTTTATCTAGGAACCGTAGTTCATTCACTACCTACAGAGATGGGTAAATCAAGCCTAATATACATTCATAGAAGGTATAAAGGTGACAGGCTACAATGTCATATTTTTAGTGAAATCTTACCTTGCACATTCACTTCTTACTTTGTAAGTTACTGTTTCCTGATAAAATGTTGCAGTTGGATTGAGAAATTGTGAATATTTTTCCAAATCGCTTGATGGATAAATCAGACGAAAATTACCCATATGGCTATTCTCATATTTTTCACTTAGTGCTTGATATCTTTCAATATCACGTTCGAGTGAACATCTGTAGAAATGCAGAAATAATATTAATTTAGTTAAAACTTAAAAATTAACCCAGAAAACTTTAGTCACAACAGAATTTGAACCAGCTTTGTTTTGATTATCCATGTATATGATTGAGATATAAGACTAAGTCATTTATCAAAATTCTAATATACACTAAATATTGAAGATTTTATTGGATCATTTATGTTTCACATGAATAAATACTCAATTATTCACTCTATTATACTAAACGAAATACTATTGTAGTTACGTGTGAAAAAATACTAGAAAACTGACTCTTACATTCTTCAATGACTTCATTTTCAAATGTTCACTTTAGATTATCAAATATCCTTGATTAGATTTCAACAAGTTATAAACTTTTTGATTTCTCGAACATCTTTTTAAAGATTATTCTTATGTTTTGGATATTATCACAATATGAAAAGTTCAATAATGGCATCTTAAACATTCTTTGAATTGTTCTTTAGTTAATTTATATAAATAACTATGAACACGGATTCTTTTAATTATGTTGCTTTTACTATCTCTGAACAATTCTTGATGTTATTTTACAATCACAAATGAAGGGTATTTGTAAGTTGCTTTCGAAAGAGGAATAGTTAATCATTTATTTGGATACTTAAAACTCTAAAAGTTTTGATTTTACATAGACATACTCTGTACAATGTAACAAGATGATTACTTAATTAAGTTATTAGGCTAGTAAACATAATCAATCTTTACTTACAGATTTACGGGTGGCAAAGATTTATTTGCATAAATTCTCATCAGATTTTACAAATAGAGGTTTAAATCACTGATCAGAAAAAAATGAACAAGTTTCAGGCGAATTTATACTTTGAAATGATAGGATTCAAAATTAGGCTTATCAGTAAAATAAGCTTGTTAAGGTTTGTAAATGTTGAAGCAATTAATATGTAATATAACGGATTCATAGTATGATTTCAACAAAATTTCGGGGTAAATAAGCAAAATAAATATTGGCACGAATGTATATATATATATAATCACATTGAATGTCCATTCATATTTTGCGTAACCCATGAGATGTGGATCATATTAAAGGCAGTTTAAATGTAGCGAGTGTTATGTAGACTGGTATGATCTATAAGAACAAGAATAGTTAATTTCAATGAATTTAAGTTTGGAAAATTTGTAGTAGTAGGGAGTGTGTATGTCAATCTGTATATCACCACATAAATAACGTGATGTTCGACTTGCTAAATAGATGATAAATCTGCTATTTTGGATGCAGAACCTCTGTTGAAAAAAAATTAAATTGTTCTTACCTTTATCGTCTGAAGGACTTGGAACCTTATCTTTTTGCTAAAATATCCTGTGACATGATAATGTATATGAATAAGTTTTTAATCTCACTAAATCTACTGGAAAGTACCTACTGTTGCTTAATGTTGAGGATTTGAATATCAATAAAGTATTTCACAGCCTTAGAGTACAGAGTACTCATCATCACCCATAATTGCAACTTTGTTTACTAAGTCGAAATGACATAATACTTATCAATTTTATGTAAGGATATATATAATTCCCGAAATTGAGATTAGTTTCTTTTAAGTACTGTACATGTATAGCTATACACTAATGCAGAAAAAAATTTCTTGTATATCTTTGTTTTTGAGATTTGTATAACCTTTGTAGTATTGAGATGATAAAAGAATAAGTCAATTTACTATTTTAATCAATGATTCATAGAACAAGAATCAAGCATGAACACTGAGATAGGATGGTGGTTGGAGGTAGTCAACAGGAAACTCTAGACTCGGGTTTCATGCTATTTGGCACCCGTCAGCAGAGCGTGCCTGTAATCTTGAGGGAACTGGTGCTGCCTGACGGATTCGATCCCGTGTCACGCGGCTTTACATTCAGAGACGTTACCACTGTAGGACTGAGATGTCTTCACAATTGATTGATCACTGGGTGATGATCAATGTCATGTGCATCAAGTCCTTCTAAGTGCAGATCGAATGGTATCGACCAAGTTGCAGTGTTTCAGGTACACTTTGCTGACGAGTGCCAAATAGCATGAAACCCGGATTCAGGGATTCCTGTTGACTACCTCCAACCAACATTCTGTCTCAAAATAATTCACGCAATGTCGAGTTACCTAGATTAGTTGCCACATGGCAACTTGGTCAACAGCATTCGATCTGCACTAAGAAGGACTTGACACACATGACAGTGATCACCACCCAGTGACCAATCAATTGTGAAGCATGAACACTATAGAACTTGACACAGACGTGTACTAGTCCAAGTTTCAAAGCTTCAAATTATCGCAAATAAAGGAAATTTACAAGTGGAAAAGTGAAGTAAAAACAGTTGTACCAACAATAACAGAAAAATAGAAATAGGAAAAGAATATCATTAGGAACGAATAAAGAATAAAAATTTAGAGCACGCAATAATACTTTGAGCAAGATTTAAGGGCGATAAAGAACTAGCACATTCGAACCATTGTGACCGATTTGGAACAGAGTTAACCAGATTCTCCAAACATGGAATATTATATCTCAGTATATAAATCCCAAACATTACGAATATTTATTTTTAAAGGCTACACTAAACTATCTGTTTCAGTAGATTCTTCAAAATATGACTGATGTTTTTAACTTTTTATGTATTTATACTTTTGATAAACAGTTTGAAATTATTCACTGAATATCATATGGTTATAATTTTAGAAAACTTTAATGAATTCCACCGAACCATTTCGAACTTTTAAGTATCCGATCGAATAAGATAAACTAGTGTAATATTTACGATATGAATAGTAAATATTTAATTAAGTAATACTTGGGACAAAAGTACAATTCTATTGTCATTATCTACCTCATACTTTAGAACGATGTATATTGGAGTCAGATTTACAATTTCAATCATGCTTTCACAAATTTTATGCACGGTGTTAGTAGAGTCTGGGTACAGTAACCAAATATAAAGAAAATTTATCTAAAAGAAGTAAGTTGCCTGAAGTTAAAGATAAGACAGTAGGATAAGATCAGAGCGAGATTATGAAATTCAATATGTTAAAAATAAAGAAATCTAAGATTTTGACGACAGTATTTGTAAGGGGCTGAATTCAGCTTGAAGTCTTTTGGAAATCAGGTATGTAAAGTGTGAGTCCTATGTGCAGCCATAACATCCTCGTATGACCAAGATAACATTTTCAGACGACTGTGTCCGAATTTATTGGTTTGCATTTTAAGCGTCAATTAATTTGAGATACGGTTCAGTATCTATGTACTAATATTATCGATCTTTGTATCGCTCCCAATTTCATTATATAGATTATAGAATGTTGTATAGACAATTTTAAATTTAGTATTATAAACTGTTGGAAGCATGTTTATCTAAGGCGGATGATGATGATATACAATCTAAACAAAGTAATTCTGTCGGTAGACCTTCATTTCTATTCTTAGAAATAGAATCAGTTAACGTTAGTTTAGAATTAAAAATTAATTTCAAAGTATCCGAAACTCTCTACACTACATCCAACTAAATAAATAATAGACTAGTAGATATTAGATTATTCATTTCATAACGTTTTCTGAACAGCGTATAGTAATTTAATAGTTGAATTCATGAGTCGATTAAAGCTAGACCACCATGGAAAACCTGGGAGCACTGGACGGCCGTTCTGTCCTAGTAAGGGAACTCCTCAGCGGTGCTCATCCACGATCCCACTCGCGGGACAGAAGGTCCTGGGTTTGAATTCTGCGAGTGGGATCGTGGATGCGCACTGCTGAGGAATTTCACACTAGGGAGAAGCGGTCGTCGAGCGCTTCCAGGTTTTTCATGGTGGTCTGGCTTTGATCAACTCATGAATCCAACTAATAAATAGATATCGATCAAAACGGGCGGTAATAATAACTCAAGGTCATTGAAAGGATTCGAAACGATCGACCTAGACAAAGAACCGCTTAAAAGGTAGATTACCTGTAAAGGGATTAAACAGATATTATATATAGAAAAAAGACATTGTAGTTAAAATAGAGGAAAAATGGACGTGGAGTGAGTTCTTTGGATTCATTTTAAAGAAATAAATATTTAGCAAATTTTAAGTTCAATAAAACATATTTAACGGAACTAAATAATTCAGATTAAATGAATAAGTACATAAGTTATTTTGCTGTATATAGGTTAATTACAAAACCAAATGATATTTGGGACTGTTTGTGCAAAGCTATAATTTGATAGGGTTAAAATAACGTGAGAAATTATAATACAGAAAAAATACAATGCTAACTTACCTATGATCTTTATCAATATTTTTATGTAATAAACGATTTCGAATGCGTTTTCTTTCTTCATCACAACATTTCTTTTTACTAACTGCATTGAAATGTGCAAGTTGTACAGTATCCCATAGCATAGCTTCTTTAATTTCTTTATCTAATTTACTATCTGTAGTAAAACTTGGTGAATGATTCACCTAATATGATAACAGAAAGAAGTTTGTTTAGTTTCCACTATCTAAAAAGCTTGAACATGTATGGGTGATGTGAAAAAAAATCAGTTCACACTAACAGTTTATAAATTCTAATACAGTTTACATTATGAGCTCTAAAATTGTAAGGCCAAATGTTTCGTCCTAGTATGTAGCTCTCTAGAAGAATTTGCAAAAGACCTTATATAGAATGAGATCTAAGTGCTCTGTTTCTTATAATCAGTATAAATTTTTTAAATCACTAAAATCAGAATTTATTCCTCCACTTCTAACAATTTGGTCAACTAGACATTTTTGAATGAGTAAATAGTTGAGATAGGTGCAATGGTAATTTTGCGGAACGTAAATCAATAATAACAATCACAAAATCGAATTTATAATATTTTATTATTGAATAATAACGCAAGTTTTAAAAGTTGAGCAATCATTATGACAATGGATTGTTTGTTGAAGCATAATGCCAGATTTGATTATGAAACTCAAATAATTGATAATTAGGTTCATTCAATTATGCTTTGTATGAATTTGATTATTTCGATCATTTAAAACAGTTATTAAGTTTTATTATCTTAAATCTAAGACATTGATGTTGATCCAGCGATGAGTTATACGGAAAATTGGATAAGAAGAGTAGAGTTTTAGTACTGTCCAATTCTAAATATAGCCGAGAGCGTTTTCGGTTACAATGAACGACTTAAAAAAGCCATCATTTTAATTAACTCCTCAAATATAAATAGGAAATTACAAAGCCCTTTATTAGATTGACCTTTGAAATTTAGCGGCGTAACTATGTCATACTGAACTTAACAAAAGTTAATCAAAAACATGATGAAGGTTAAAATATTCAGAAAGTAAGGGAAACTAGCGTAGAAATAATGACGAACTAGTCCAGTAAATAAACTAACAGGATGTTTAGAACACATGAAATCCTGTGGGCATGCGAACTGATACTGTAGTGTTCGAGAACACGAATGAGGACAACGGAATCTATTAGAACGCAAAATTACGGACTTATTTTGTAAAATGTGAATACCATACGTTCAATACTTCATTTGAAAAATATTGTAAGGAAGTAAATAGATTTGTTTTATTTTACTTTAGAACTCCTCAACATTTCATAAATGCAAAAGACACGGGATTGAACTAAAAACTCTTAGGTTTCACAAACAACACTATAATAGTGGCTTATAATATCATAACAAAACCACTTAAATCAATCACATATAAATTTCAGTAACTTTTAGTAGTATGTATAATTTACCGTAATTTTCACTTACTTCAAGAACATATGGCTTTAATCTGTGGTTGAATATTATGTCAAAGCCAAGAATTTCAAAACATGCTGATGTTTGAATATGATTTGGAAAGCAAGTTCGATAATTATGTCTAATTATAGCATAACCAGATAGTAATGTTTTAATGATCACATCATCTATGTCTTCCCAAATCTGAAAGAGTATACGAAAAATGATTACAATAGTTTTTAATAAGATACATTATAGCATTTTCAGCTAGTAACTGGGAGTAAGGATGTTGTAAAATCATTCAATCACTATTACCGTGTTGTCTAGATGAAAAATAGAGGTTTTCATATTATTTAGTGAGTATCAATGAAGGTTTAGAATACTCGAAAGGGAAAATGGTTAGAATATGGTGATTTCTTAAGTAATTACATAGTGATACAAATAAGCAAGATTTCTCATCGTCTTGAAGAAGTTGAATAGATTTCTTCCAGCCTATTTTACTTATCAGAAATTTGCAGTTCGTTTTTAGCATTGAAAAGAATCTAGTTTGATGTATTTTCTTTTTGGTTTCATAAATCACAACCTTTTTCTGAGATTTTGCTAGGTAAATACCAAACAACAAATCCTAAATGAAATGAAATTTAACCACTTCACTAACTAGTGAAGTAAGAAATTTCATAATGAGATACAGATTACCATTACACTAACATGTAGTAATAATTCAATAGTTTTTTACCATTGAATTTAAAAAATCACTATTTTGCTGACCTCCTTGATTGTTCAAATAAATAGACATTTATTTTTTCAGTTTCTTTGATGCTTCAAATGACCACAGTTGAGTAGAACATTTCCCATTTAAATTATACTTTCAGTCATAAATTCAAACATAAAACTGACAGAATTTGTTGTACTGAGTAAATTTATCAGCCTAGGTCAAACTGAAATGTTGAATTACTTAATCTTTAGTGTAATTCATATTGTGTTACTCTTACATATCAGTGAGTAATTTTGAAAGTACAGAAACTTTATACAATATTAACTGACAGTAGTAATCTCAAAACTGGCTTACTTTTTATCGTTTTAAACCAATTTTATTCTTGGAGGATACCATTTTGAGTTCAGTCATTGCATAGATTTTCATTTATATCTTAATCTACTAGAGTTTATTCTAAAATCGAGACTTTTATTTTATATTTCTAATCCTACAGAATGTCATGTAGTAAGTAAAAAACTACTTTAAATTATGTAGAATAAACTAACTAGGCTTTTAAAATATGGATATTATAGAGCAGATGATCATGCTTTACAAGTAAATTCATCATATTTAAATTTTTGATAAGATACTCAATTCTAAACTACACAAAAATGGTATTCTCTATATTCAATAGTTTTTCCTTATTGTTTGATTATAGTTTCATTTCTTTAGTTTAACGGAAGTCACACCTTAAAATCTATTTTTATCAATACATTGTTCGTTTTATTGTATTTTGTGGAGGGAAATTTGTAGTCGAAAACTAAAATTTATCATTATAGGGATTATTATTTATTAAAAAGTTTATTTTATTATTATATGCTTATATCCCTAAGATCTATAATTATACCAGTGTTATACACAATCAGAAAATCATAAATTCTAAATAAATCATAGGAAGGTCAGTTTTTGTGTTTATGCATATGTATGGGCAAAAAGATATAATGCATAAATCCAATAAATCTGACAAACAAACATTGAATAATTAAAAGCAGTTTTCACCACATACAATGGTATCAACTCGATAACCGTTGAAAATTAAAGAATATTGAACAGTTGTCTTATACTTGCTACAACTTTAGGAGTCCATCGAGTTGAATGATAATTGTGATGTATCATAAATTATTTTAGAATCAAAATATGAACTACTCTATTTAGACTCAAAGGCTTGATGGTATTGTATTTTTATAGAGTTCCATCCCTTTATAAATTTTAGTAAAGGAAGAACATCAGTCGTAGTAGAATAAAACAAAATATGTTTACTCATTCTTCCCTTTAATAGATAATATTATTGATTCTATATTATAAATAACCAAAGAGAATTCACGAAATAAATAAATTTATTGATATCTTGAGAGTTACAGGCTCAGTAGATTATGAGTTGTGACCCTCTTTTTGGTGGTTTGTGAACAACTTTAGATGGCATAACCTGCAATGAAACAGTTATTCAATCAATATCATTTTATGATGAGAGTCAACTTCAAGTTGTACAAATATTCACACAACTAAGTAAATACTGAATATACCCATGACACATATATGGTGTAGATAACCAGATGTACTGTTCAAAACGCTATTGAACACCAATGACATTAATTGTCACCGAAAAAGGGTTGCAGGAATGCAGTATTGGATACAAGAATGTAGTTTTAATGATAGTTTGATGACCAACACATTGTGGTTGAGTTATTTAAATACATTATTTTTGAAGTATTATCTTAAGCCTTCCCAGTTGCATTACAATAATTGCGAATTGTCAGTATGAAAAAAATGAAATGATGAATGAAACATCTTACTAATCACATGTGTGCCTGAACACCGATTACCACGACGCGCCATGCTGACTAGTGTTGGAGATGGTTGGAAGAAAGTTAGGGGAGGCCAAACCAATGCGTGGCATCATTCCTTGAATTCACTAACTTCTGTTCTGAGCCATGTCGGTAGATTTAGACTACTTGGTTAGGTTCCGTGCGATTATCGTAACCAATGGTTGGAGACTCTGGGTGATATGGCTCAGAAGTGATCACAATGGCGTAGGTGTATACATTCTGTGTCTTCCCTTAATCCGTGAGATTAAAATTACTTTATACTTTTATTTCTACGAACTAATTCTTTCTTCTTATGCACAATCTTTCTTTTATATATTACTACGATCGAAGTGACTAATTCTATGAATTTGGTGTTCATATTGTTGTGTTAATAAGGTGTGGCAACTTGAACTGATGCATATATATGTGCCTGGTCCTACTTCGTAGCTGACTGATTAAATCCCAGTGTTATTAATCGTATGAACGACAAAAGGAACTACAGTTGATATGTACTACTTTCATACATCTGGAATATAATTTTCAGCTATATGAAAAACTCTTAAGAAACATTTCAAAACAAATACAGTAAACATTATTACTGACAGAAATGTTTAACCTCAATATTTGAAATGTTTCCCGCAAAAAAAATAATTCACTAACGATGAAATGATGAGTTGTAACTGTTTTAATTACTTAACAAGAAATTGTTATGAGATGATTGAAATAAAGATAATCGTAATAATAGTAAGATATAAAAGTGAATGTGATTGTTATTTAAGAGTAAATGCAAAGACAAACAAACAATAAAATGAGTAAATAATGAAACGTTCTGAGTTAAAAATAAACTGGGCAAGTTAAATATAAACAAAGTTTATCAGTTTAACCTGTCATTAAGAAGTCAAAATCCAACAAAAGCATAAAAAAGAAACAAGGAAAAACAATGTTAAAAACGACAAAAAAAGAAATGACAAGATTGGGGGTATGATTGAATAGAGATCAAGAAATAATTCTCCTTGTATTGTATTATCATTATTAAAATGTTTCATATTTTAAAGATGTAATTAGGTCATTCAGTGAATGGATTTTAAATCATTGATTTCTAATATTTGGATGATTAAAGCTGAGCTTTAGAATTTTTAAACAATCAGTTATTTTGTGGAAATTAAACGATTTATTGACCATATTGAAAAGTTGGTTTATTAGTCATTGAGAACAAGTGATCATTGTCATTGTTATTAGTTTGTTGATTATTTTTTTAATGCAAACATACCAATTTACATAAAATAACTAAGATTCCGTCTAATGGTTAGCTAGTTAGTTCCAAGACTAAACATAACTGATGCTTATCAAAACTGAGGTTTGACTTAAGGATTTTCATATAAAGTGAGTGTTGAGTAGCAGATCAATCATAACACAATGATCTATTTGTTATACACCAAAAAGTAAAAATCAAAATTTCTAGAATGTCGTGACTTATTGTAAGTCACTACTACAGAGTAAATAAATAAATACAAGTTTAAACAGTAAAAATTCAAATTTTTACCCGTTAGGATATTACAAGTATCCAATTATTTTGTTATAATTGATACCTCTCCAATATAGTTCAATTTACTCGTACAATTTAGTATATTCAGATGAAGGAAGCAGTTATTTACAACTGTAATCATACAAAATTTAAAAAAATGTATGTTCAACAAACATTTTGCTTTTTTTGTCGTTTTTCTCTAGATATATTAATAAAACACTAGTGTTGAGTAGGAATAGCCTAAAGTGGACCGATCTTTGTTACATATTTCACCTACAAGAATTCCTTGAAGTTTCTGTTGTCGTCTTTATCATCACATAGCATATTATGGATTTTCTACTCTTTTTCTTTACATCCTACTGACTTTTTGTTTTGGTTTACAGTTTACTTTTCATTGCAATATGAAGCAGTTGCCTCACTAATCAATTCATTCGAGAACTTACGTTTATATTCTACCAAGTAGTGCAGACTACATGCCATTCATTTTCAGAGTGTAATTTGAACTTTGACATTAGTTATCCATAGTTTGAATTAAGGCACAATATGTAATTTAAAGTTATTTGAACCTGACAAATTAGTGGCTATCTGGATTTATTAATTTGATGGATAACATTTTGAGATTTAAAGCTATGGGTACCAAACTTGAGTTTCATGGTGAAAGTCTACAGTAAGATGAAGATGTAGATGTTAATTCAACTCCAACAAATAATATCTCATTAACTGAATATTAACGCTGGCCAAATTTCCTAGTAGTATTATGAACTTGAGAATATTCGAAAGCCAGGACACCAGTTGCAGGGATAGTATATTGTTGATAATTAGTAAAATCCGCAAGCACACGAAAAGCGAGTACACGAGAAATCGAGTGAAAGTGGGTGTTCAAAAATCCATGTATATTTCTGAGTGCTAATCGGTTGTGGATAAGTTATGGATCGTCTATATAAACAACCAATAGGAGGATAGATAAAGAATGAGGTGCAAATATACGTTCAGTCAGACTCACACATACTTTTACATGGTAGCTTAATTGTATAAATTAAAGCAAATAGACAAATAATTAAAAATTATTCGATAGGCTAATTATAAAAGTGCATTCAAATGAACAGTCTAAAATAGGTAG